TTGGCCAGCCTCTGAGCCTCATCTACGAGACCCAACCACGAGGCGTGAGTTGGTCCACGGACCGTACTACACGCTCGTGGAATGGGACTGAGACTAGGACATTTTGGGGAAAACTTGAGGGAGTTAAGTCTTGACTCACGACTCACATCTACGGGGTGTGAGTCAGTCTATGCCTCGTGGTCCCTATTTCGTGGATTAAGTTGTTTTGGATAGCTTTTTTTTACCTTCATTTGGGTCCTCCTCATGGACCCTTGGGGGGTCCTAGGGGGTCGTGCCTTGAGGTTTAGGCACTAGAACCCTAGTACTAAGTTAGGGAAATTATTTTAGGACTTTAACCTTACATTTTAACTTCATGAGGCTACTAAACTACACATTAGGCTCTAGCTTAGGTCATTAGATTTCCGGGGTGTTACATTTATTATGATTATTGGAAAACAATTAGGTTAATATTTCTATTTAGCTATTTATGCTTTGACTTGAAATCAAACTTAATAATTATTAGAAAGATAATTTTATTTGTTTGTTTGATTAAGAAGTAGTAACATTAACATCATGTAATATTGTCTTGTCGATATTTATGATAATATTTTTGAATTATAATTTCATTTAAAAATTATAAAAAACATATATTTTTAAGAAAAGAGGGTTGGTCTGACAAAGCTTGTAGCCCACGTACTTGTGGGTTGGGCCAATCATTTTCTGGCTCACACAAAAAATGGGCTAGCCCGGCCTGGCCTGTCAAATTTCAAAGTAAAAATTAGGCAAATGACATAGTATAAGAAAGAAATTACTTCCTTTCCCTATTCTTTCATTAATTACCAAAAATCCCTTTTTTTAGTATTTTTCGGATACTTAATATAGCAGCGCGGATACTTTAATTAATAACGGGCGGATACTTAAATTATTAAGTTGTTAGCAGCACGGATACTTAATTAACGGGCGGATGCATAATATAGCAGCGCATATACTTTAATTAATAACGCGCGGATACTTAAACTAATAAAGTATCCGATTAAGTTGAATTGGGGGAAAATAAGGGATTTTTGTATTTTAGTAAAAGAGTAGGGAAATATTGAGAATAGGTAAAGAAGGGTTGTGTATTTAAGTAATTTTTCCAATTTCAAAGCTTGTATGGGTTAGCTCGGATGGGGTGGGTCAGCCCATATTGACAGCTCTACTTCTGGGTCATCCTCACCCTCTTAAGATTCCTCATTTTCAGCCCAACTCTGTAGCCCTCATGCACCTCTTAACCGCCTCATATAGTATTTATTTATATTATATATACAAATACTTTAAGAGTAGTATTTTTTATTTATATAGAGAACACAAAAAAATAAGTAAATTAAAAAATCCACATATGTTTCTAAAAAATATTTTCCTGCACAGGAACACCTCCATAGTTTAGGGTTTTAAAATGGTCACTAGCCACCTCTCTAGAGTATGCAACAAGCCTCTCTGACTTAGTTATGTAATTATGTTTGACTCGATACAATTTTAAAAATAATTTAAAAATTATCATGAGGTTTCTATAATTATAATAATAATGATGTATTATTATCAAATAATTAAAAAGTTGTTCTTGTAAGAAGAAATAATAATAAAAAGTATCACATAAGATTTTAACCAAGTAGGGAGAGGAAAGGGTAGTAAGTATACGGAGATTATAAGTGAACAACAGCTAGTGCTAGATTAGGATAATGTTTACCCGTAAAATGGTACAGTTAAAATTTAAGAGAAATTATGGAATAAGGTCAATATATTTATAGAAAATAGCTATAATTTTAAAAAATTACAAAAAAATATTATGTTGTTTTTATAGCAAATTTTCTCCCTTGCCCCTCTCTCTTCGGCTATTAATAAGAAATCTATTCAAATGTATTATGTAGGATTATATTCAATCAAATAAGGTGAGATTTATATTTTATATCAATTGTGTTCGAAAAATCATATTTGTTTTTGTATTCATACGAATACAATATGCGTTCGTCTTCTCTGTTTAGGGGTGACAGAATAGGTAATTTATAGGGAAAATTGTACAGAATAGCAAACATTTATCATATTAAATGTTATAGCTACTGTTTAGGAAATTCTAATTCGCTACTACAGTTTCGCCCAATCTTGTTATTCGCCTGATTTGTATAAATCAAGAATTTGTATAATTCGGTTCCTGATTTGTATAAATCCATAATTTTGTATATGCTTACCCTAACTATTTGTATACGATTTATGAAAAATTCATACTAAACTACCTTGTTTGTATATTGGTAAGCGAAATATACAAATAGAGTTCTAAAAAATTTCTAAATGTATAAATACAGAATTCATATATACGTATAACCCTATTTGTATAGTCGCAAGCTATATATACAAACCGCAACCTCCATAGCAAACGGAATTAGAGCTATGGAGCGCAATTATCGAAACTATAACTATAGAGCCTTATTATGTGTATTATGTTTGTTATTTCTAAAATGTTCTCTAATTTATATGGGTATCCACTCATATTTACCCATTTTAAATGGGTTGAGTACCCAACTCATTTAAAATGGATAAAAATGACTAATACTCCTATTATTCATTTAAAAGTGGGTAGTTAAATGGATAAAAAATGTTCATTCATAAAAGAAAGAAAAGTGGTAGGGGGTTGATAGGGGATGGGCTGGTAAGAAAAACTTTTTAAAAGAATTAATTTTTTTAAAAAAAAAAAAAGGGGGATGGGGGAGGTCTAGTAAAGGTGGGGGCTGGTAGGGGGTGGGGTGATAAAAAAACTTTAATTTTTTTTTATTATTAAAAAACAAACTAACATTTTTTTTACATTTTTTTGGGAGAGGGGGCTGATAGGAGGTGTGGGATGATAAAAAAAAACTTTAAAAAGGTTTGTTTTTAAAGCTTTTAACAAGACCCCTACTATAATATGAGTACCCATATTATTCATTGGGTAACTCGTTTTTAACCATTTAAAATATGAGTTGAGTCGAGTACTTTGTCCATTTTTGTTTAACTCGATTTCGATCGACTCATATTCGACACGACTCACTTGTTTGTCACTCTTAATTGTATCCAATATAAGAGAGGATGAATACAGTTGTATTCGTTGTATTTCAAATACAATTGATACAAAATACAAAACAATTATGCATTAAATGAAAAATGAGCCCCACCTGAATTTTATCATTTTACTTGCAATTGTGGCGTTCATGTATATATATAATTTATTTCGTTCGTTTTTATGTCTCTTAAATTATGATTAATATGAGTATTCTACAACAATAATCATATGAATTGATATATAATGATATACCTTGAAAATGATTTGAAATAAGTAATTAATGTTGAGGATAAAATATAAAAAATAAAAAATAAAAAATTCTTCATGATATGCTAGTGAAAAGTAAAAGTAAAAATATATTTTAAATATAGTGGACAATAGATGTAAACAGAGGGATTCTACTATACGTCAATGGTAAGATTCACCCAAACATTGAAAGAACGAAGAAAATTTTGTTTAGCAACTCCGTATTCTTTTTGTTGACATAAAAAAAATTAAAGAAAATGTTTGTGCGGTCAGTCATTTCATTTAGCTTTGAAGTTATTTGTTTGACTATAAAAATTCCTATTCATATTTTCTTCAAAATAAATTTTAATCCGAAGTTAAGTGTGTTTGGATGAGAGTAGTACTAGGATGGGTGACCCCTTGGGAAGTCCTCATGTTGCCTCCCTCTTTTTTGTCAAAATTCGATTGTGAAAATTTAAAATTTAATTTGAAGTTATGTTGCAAATTTAGAAAACAACTTATAGTTTATTTTCTAACTCACTTTTAAAATAGCAGTACATTCAACTACAAAAATTATTTCAAAACTGTAAAAAAAAATACATAATCAATTACCATAAAAAAATATTGAGGAATCTTCGCTTATAGTCACTCAAAAATAACTTAATTATGCTTCATTGCTATAGTTTGCTAATTACAATTCGTAGTTATACATTAGAGGGAGGAAAGAGACGAGTGAGATTGGGAGAGGAAGAAGAGAGGCGAATTGTATATGTATATATGTCGAATTGTATATGTATATCTGCCAAATAATTGTATATATGTAACTGGTATGCATATGTATTTGCATATTTGGCGAGTGAGATTGGGAGAGGGAGGAGAGGCGAGCGAGAGAGGACATACAGTGGAGAGGAGTGAACTGTATTTGTATATCCATTAGATAATTGTATATATGTAACTGGTATACATATGTATTTGTATATCTGGTGAGCGAGATTGGGAGAGGGAGGAGAGAGGTGAACTGAATTTGTATATCTATCAGATAATTGTAAATATGTAACTTGTATACATATCTATTTGTATATCTAGTGAGCGAGATTGGGAGAGGAATGAAAGAGGTGAGCTAGAGAGGGTAGAGAGTGGATAGAGACTAATTGTATTTGTATATTTGTCATATTATTATATATGTACATGTATAATTTGTATTTGATAAATTTGTAAATGTATAAAAGAGGAGAGAGGCGAGAGAGAGGAAGAGAGGAAAGAAGCAACATAATTTTAACTAAAATTAAGTTGTGAGCCGTAATTAATTCAAAGTATAATTATGTTAGTTAATTTAATTAACTAGAATATGTTTGTTATTCGCGTAATTTCCCCTAAAAGATTAATGTTATTGAGCCGGTGCGCAGCACGGGCTACCGTAACTACTATATATATATATATATGAAGAACTAAATCCCTCCATTTTGAGAACCATTTTGATCATACCCTCCTTTATTCAAATTTAACCCAGCTGACATGCTCTGTTTTCCCTCAAAACTCAACCAAACTCAACCGACAATCTTGATTTTCGCCAGCTCGTTGCAACAAATGGCAGCAGTTGAACATTCAATATCGTACAAATCAGGATAACAGACATGGTCCATTGTCAAGAGAAGAATCTAAACTAAGTTGAAAAGTCCATGTCAACCATCTTTGACGAAAAACCTTGATAAAACTTCCCCTTCAATTTCAGTTCACCTCACTTTCTCATCAAACAATGGCGGCCCATTTTGCCCTCTTCACTATTTCCATTACTCTGTTAATCGTCGTTGCCGTTGCTGAAATCCGATCAACCCAGATCAGATCCGATTCACGCTCTACAATCCCATTTGATGAATTTGGTTACACCCATATCGGCCGTTTAAACCTCACCGTCACCGACATCTCTTTCTCCGCCCAGAAAACCCCTTTGTCCCAATTAGGGTTCTTCCTCTGCACCCTAGACGCGTGGGTACACGTGCTTGAACAACTCCAAGAAGGCGAAATTCATTGTCCCCTTGAATCCAATCTCATCAAAAAGGTCTTCACTTTCGACCAATTGCAACCATCCTCCCGTGAGTTCTCCACCTCCTTCATCGTCTCTGATGCCAATCAATTCACTCTTGCGTTCGCCAATTGTATGCCCAATTTGGAAGTTACCATGAATGTCCACTCTGTTATGTACAATTTCAACCCTAAAACTGGGGAGCTTGATTTTCTATCAACAGGCAAAACTGCACTCCCCGTGATATATTTATTGCTTTTTATAGTCTATGTGTTGTTAGGGGGTGTTTGGATTTACACACTTTACAGGAAAAGGTTAACTGTTTATAAAGTTCATTTCTTTATGCTTGCGGTTTTGATATTAAAGGCATTGGATTTGTTATGTGAAGATGAAGATAAATCGTATATTAAGAGAACAGGAACAGCTCATGGATGGGATGTTTTGTTCTATATATTTAGTTTCTTGAAGGGGATTACTTTATTTACCTTGATAATTTTGATTGGAACTGGTTGGTCATTTGTGAAACCGTATTTGCAAGATAAAGAAAAAAAGGTTTTGATGATTGTTATTCCATTGCAAGTTGTGGCCAATGTTGCACAAGTTATGATTGATGAAACTGGTCCGTTCGGTGAGAGTTCGTATACATGGAAGCAGGTTTTCCTTCTTGTAGATATTGTGTGTTGTTGTGCTGTGTTATTTCCTATTATGTGGTCGATTAAGAACTTGCGCGAGGTAGCCAAGACTGATGGGAAAGCTGCTGTGAATTTGATGAAGCTGACATTGTTCAGGCAGTATTACATTATTGTGGTATGTTACATATACTTCACGAGGGTTGTTGTTTATGGTTTGGAGACCATTACCTCCTATCGGTACCAGTGGACCAGCGTGGTGGCTGCTGAATTGGCTACACTTGCCTTCTATGTCTTTACTGGGTATAACTTTAGGCCTAAAGTGCATAACCCTTATTTTGCAATTGATGATGAAGAGGAAGAAGCTGCTTCAGAGGCACTCAAGCTTGAAGACGAATTTGAATTGTGATCACCATTGTAAGAAGGTAATTTTATACAGTCAAAGGAGAAAACTACACTATTCGGATATGCCTTTTTACATTTTAGAAACGATTTCTAGATTGTTGCAAGTTCTTCTGTATAGTACAGTTATAAGGTCCACCATATCTTACTTCATACAACAGGGAAAACTGCTTTGCATAGCTTCATTGCAAGTACCTTCCTTAGTGCTTTGAAGAATTTTGTTTTACATTTGGGAGTATCAAGTGTTACTTGTTGATTGTCAAATTCAAAAAGTTGGTGCCAAAATATCTGTTAAGTTTGCCATAAGCTTCTTGTGGTAAAAAAATATGAGATACTGTTTTTCTACTGCTCCAGTAGCATTATGATACCATGAATGTGAAGTAAAGGTTGGAGGGTTGTTCAGTAGTAACACAGTGTAGTCTTCAGAGTAAGCCATAGTCTTGACACGACATATTTAAGATCATATGATTAAAAAATATTTTGGTACATTCTACGTACTCCAGCTTATGCTACTATCCAAAGCCAATGTCTCTTTCCCTTTTTGAAACTTTTTATTTTCAATTTTCCACACAACATATTTAAGATCACCTGATTAATGAATGTTTTGGTACATTCTACGTACTCCAGCTTATGCTACTATCCAAAGCCAATGTCTCTTTCCCTTTTTGAAACTTTTTAATTTCAATTTTCCACATGACATTTTTAATATCTCATGATTAAAGACTATTTTGGTACATTCTACGTATCTTTATTTTGAGACCACAAAATTCAAGTCTTCTTTATATTTTTAAACTTTGTGTTATGTCAAAACTAGACAAACAAATTGAAACGTAGGAAGTATAATAATTGTTACTGATTATGTAAAAGGATAAATCGTCAAGGTTATAAAACTATAAATCTTAAATTAGTTGAAGTGTATCCAAGTGTTCGAACACATGATTTATAAAAGAAAATTTGGGAAATGTTAGAGCTATTTCTTCAATCTTGAGAAGTAGCCTCCCTCACTATATAGTTACTCTATCCATGTTTTTTAACAATCTCAAACTTATGATTCTCGATATCGGTTCATTATTAATGCTTTCTACTCTTTGTTTATCTATTGTTGTTAATTATATACTTAAACATCATCAATACACATATTTGGCAAGTAAAATGTGTACTATTTGTTAAGGTCATGCCTATATTTTGTAATGAGATATTTCACTTCTTAAATTAAAAATGTACCACCTACAAGCTGAAAGAATGATATAATATATGTTTCTACATATAACCATTAACTGTTGAGATGGCCGAGTTGGTCTAAGGCGCCAGATTAAGGTTCTGGTCCGAAAGGGCGTGGGTTCAAATCCCACTCTCAACATTTGCAGGCTTTTTTTTTTTCCTTTCGTAGAATATTTAGTAAACTTTTATTTTTTGTTTTTTTGTTCTTTCGTAGAATATTTAGGTTCATATCACATTTTGAAAAAAGAAAATGGCAAACAAGTTAAGTCACCCAAACTAGAGGTCATAATTTAAAATTGTTCAACTTACATTAATTTTTGCATACATAAGAACAAATATATTGGCAAATATACTTGTTTGATCATCATCCGTAAAACAAAAGGGTTGTGGTGCTCTCTATTTAATAATAATATCCTGATCGGCATTCATTTTGATTTCAGCCTTTATTTTCTTCCTTTGAAACGATTGACCTGACCGGCTTGAAACTTGATTTGATTATCTAAGGAATTAAAAACTTGATTTTTTCATTCCCCTCCCTCAAAACGAAAAACTCACAAACACTATTGGAACGGCACAATAGCAATACTATAACAGATATACTTACCGACAAGAGAGAACCTCACTATACGTGAAAAAATAAGCATTCTCGCCAGGAAAGTTATTTTCCTCATTTTTAAGAAACGTATTTTCCTTTAGAAAAAATGTTTTCCAAAAAGTTCAACTAAATCACTAATCCTAGGATAAATTTATACCTCAAACTTGGGTGTTATTTTATCCCATATGAGGAGATGAGATAAATTGATCCGTGAATTATAATCCCGAGATAACTTTGTCCGCAAACCAAACGACCCCTTTATTTGTCAACTTTCCTCAAGTATAGACATATTAGAAGTTGTGAAGTACATCTAAGTCTTTGTAGTGAAAATCAAAACAAGAAGAGATGAATTGAACCAAATTCCCCAGGAAAACATGTTTTGAAGAACCAAATGACATAGCAGAAAGCCAAGTAAAAAGAGCCAAACACATAGGAGGATCGAATTTCGACAAAGTTACTGATAAATATAACTGTAAATTAAAAACATCCATCTAGTATTGGTACCAAGGCATTGTCTATAGAAACATAATATACCAAACTTAAATTAATAAATCTACTTACCCCCTCATAAACCAGTCCAACTCTATAAGCTTAATGATTAGAAATTCCCAGCTGTGATTAAGTACCAAAAACTAAAAGACAAATGCCACAAAAGTACTCTAATACTATATGTAGTATATATTTAGATATGCTTATAAGCAAAAGACCAACTGAAAAGCAATGCCAAAGTGATTGATCAGAGCACTGCTTAACGAGGAAAACGCGGACGCACAGGAGTCTTTGATGGGCTTACCCTGCATACACCATGTATATATATAAAGATATAAATGAGAATCTCTGCAAATATGAGAGGAAGTTCTATGGAATCAGAAAGTAACCTTATGGGAAGTGATCCCAGGATTGCACCACTGCAGTTGAGTGCCATAATTGCGCTCTCTGCCTGAAACAGAAGAAAATTTAACATGAAACCATACATAAATGCGGCAAGGGAAAGTTGTACCAAAATCCATTAAGGAAATACGATGACACGAATAAAGAATTAGTAAAATGGAACAGTTCAAAATTTCTATTCTGAAATCTAATGAATATGCTACAAATGACAAAAGAAAATCTTCAGGAACTGAGGAATGTTGAGATCACAGCAAGCCACACCACGCACAGTCGCACACTAATATCAAATGACATTCTAACAAAGGCATCACATAGGTGTTGTCTGCAATGAAAATAAGCTGCAGAGTCGGAGAAAAATAGAAGACAAATAATAGACAAGAAGAACAGACACAAGTATGTCATATCCAAACTAAAAAGTGTTGTCCCGTTATATAAGACGCATCTCCTACTAGTAAAGACAAAACGTAAACTGAAAGTGTGTCACTAAAGAAAATCAGCATGTACTCTACAGTTAATGATCTCATTTTTTAAACAAACATTTCCGACAAATAACAGAAAACAGCTTCTGGAATTCATCAGATGAAAACCTCAAATGCAGACACAGAATCCAGTAAACGAAGAAATTTATAGAGGATTTTAACATATCCCTACCAATTCTTAACCCCTAAGAAGGATAGGATACAGTGGAAAAAGAAGAAACATACTAGTTGAAAGCAAATCATGAACTGAAAAGGTACAAATCAATAAAATGCAGGACCTGCATTTTTGGTCTTGATTAATATTATCGATTCTTTTGGACAAACAGTACCAAAAATACATAGCTCTTATATTTTTTTATCAAAATAACAGGTCTGCATCTATGTAAATTGAGAAGTCCGAACTAAAGGCAAGAGCTTAAAAGTTGTTCACAGACAGAAGCTAAGTAAACAACAATTTTGCCAGATAATCTGAGCGTAGTGCAAGAGCAAAAGTTCCGGGGACTGCTCATGAGAGATTCTGTTGCCACTTCCTATAAATCTGATTCCTCACCAACAAGTCCACTTGAGTTGGTCAGGCATCAAAAACATTATGATTGCAATTTTTCCTTGTTTCTACTTCTCTAGATTCTAAGGCTTCTGATATCTCTAGCTGCTGCAGATGAGCTACATCAAGACTTACCATGCGTAGATAGCAACTAAATATAGTCAGATGCCTGTTCAACTGATCAAATAGACAGAGAAGCAAATTTTGTTTCTGCTTGTCTTGAACCCCTTCAGCAAGGTCTTTTAATTTCCTAATTTTGTTTCTATGTAAAACAAGCTCCGTCAAATTGCTTATAGTACTGAGACCCTCCATTTCTTTATTTTCATAGGATGCAGCTTTCCTGTTCGTTTTTTCTATTATAAGTTCAACAATAAAAACTAATTCAATATGTATAAGATCCACAAGTCAACCTGAATCAACCATAATCCTTCATGTCAATGAAGCGCAAAAGGTGAAAATGAGCCAGTTTAATCTCGTCAACAGAGGGTGAATTCTTCTCAGCCCACGTTATTTTTTGTCAAGCATATTAATCTCATTCATCTCTCACTTTTTCTACAGTGGAAATGGTCAATGTAGTCATAAAAAAAGATAAATTTTTTTGATAAGTAAAGCAAACGTAAAATTAATCCTGCGAGTAAATTCTCTTGGGAAGGTGGACAAAATCCTATCAAACTGCGCACCTCTCTCATTTCATCTGCTAGTTAAGGAATTAAAGGAATAGTCCCACCAAGAGTAACTCTACCTGCACTATTGAGTACCTAAAGTAGGAAAACTAAACTGCAACTGGCTATCAATAGACCTACATTATCAATTAACCTGCAGATAAAGGACCTTGCTAAGCCAAAGAAAGGTTTCACTATAGAGAAACTTGCTCACAGAACACTGTAAATCTCAGATGGCAAACAAAATTAGAGTTAGTTAGTGGTGGCAAAGAACAACAGCAGTATATGCTTATACTGGGATAGCAGGAGCAAAGAAAGAAAAATTTAAGCCAAAACTCAGTTGTATGTGAATTCATTTTAGAATTCATAGGGGTGACCAATGCTAGCGACATTTTGAGTTAATGCAATAATTTCAAATAGGGACCAGAGTTGGTGTTTCTACACTTTTTTGACCGCAAGAGAATCACACAACATTCAAATAAGACACAAGAGTTCCCATTAATGTGACAAAAATGTTGTAAAGGAAAAACTTCTTCAGGAACTCAACAGATGAAACCTATAAGAGGGCTTGGATGAAAAAATTTAGAATTTTCAACAAGGCACAACCCGGGAAGTGGCTATAAGGATTTAGGATTGACGATTAGGCATTACGAATGGAGGTGATAGCAAGATATACAGAGTCGTGGAAAGGAAATGGAGGCTAGAACGTAAAATTACCTTATAGATATGTCTTTTCAGCAATATCATAAAGGGTTAAGAAGAATTTAGCAACTTTGTTACCTATTAGGTAGGAAATGAAAGAAGAGTCTTGTGGGATCAACAGTGGTCATGGAGAGAGCATGTTAATGATGACCATCCCTAACTCATTCACAAGTTCATGCAAAAAAGAGATGATGCCAACAAATCCAGGTGGTACAAGAGAGTTGGGTTCATGAGACTGGTGAATCAAAAGAAATCTAAAAGATTGGGCAGTAGTGAAATCCAAAGATTGATGGGAATGTTCTATTCTCGGGATAGCACTCACTGGTCAGGACTTGTGAAGGTGGGGGAAAGAAATGATGGTGCGTTTTCACAGAAGTCGTTGGTCGAAAAATGTCGGGCTCAATGAAAGATGCATTCAAACTAGGCTGCTAGAAGAAGGAAGAGAAGATGCAGGCACGGGATGTTGCCCCGCTAGCCATCATGTGGGGTTAGAAAGAAATAGGAAAGCTGTTGAGGGGTTAGAAAATTATATTATAAATTTGAGGAATAGCCTCTTATTAATTAGTTTTTGGTGCACCTATGAAGTTCTTGTGGCTGTCTGTGCAGAAGCTGTACAAACCATATTACTGTGTAAGTTCTCTACTTTTTAGTATAGATTGTAGATAACCATGTTACTGTGTAGGTTCTCTACTTTTTAATATACATCTTCTTACGGGAGCTATCCCACATTAATACAACTACTTACCCTCTCGGAACCACAAGAGCAAAGTAAAAGAGATAACACATTTTGAGCAGATAAAATGCTAAAGACAAGCATTTGCAAATAACAGGATCCGACATTGATAGCAACTATTGGAAGTTACAGTAGCTTTGATGATAGTAAGAAGAAGAGGTCCACAACTCAAGTTAATATAAACAGCAATGAAAAGTCAGAAGCTCATGAAAGTTACCATGACAAACTCAACAAAAGCTATACGAGTCGAATGTTGATAGTCACCAAGCAACCTCAAGCGATGAACCTATGTTAGAGAAGAAAATCCATAACATAGAGTTAGGATTTAAAAAGGAACAGCACGTCAGACTTGTTACATGAGCAGCTACAAACCTCTCCACAGAAGGACTCAAAGAACAGCTTGACATCTGCTTGAGTAACCTGCTTCATACAAACATACAAGTCGTAAATATTTTTCTTCATTGATGTCCATCAAAAAAGTAAAATTGTAAACCCAAAATACCTTCTTATCAATATTTGTACAGTATACAGTTCTAGCACACATCTCTCTTTCATCTTCAGACTAACATCAGCAGAAAAGGTGAAAAATTTAGTATTAGCAGCACTAAGTATGCATTTGTCACTCCTAGGACATTGTTACAAAAGGTAAACTACATGTAGCCAAAATTTCTCACCCTTGGAAGAAAGGTTGGATTAACCGGTGCAATCGCAGTTTTAGAAGGAAGCACTCTCACAGGATAACACCCAAGGATAGTTCCTGCAAGACTCAGAGCACTCTTTGCACCTTCTGCATAACATATTGGGGAAAATGTGGTGTTAGAGAACAAGCGCCCTAACGATCTAGCAAGAATATATAAACGAATAATCATGTGTCAACCTACCTTCATCTGTAAACTCAATAAAGGCGAATCGAAGTACAGAATTGGTGTCACCACATATACGACAGTCGACAACCTTCAACACATCAATGTTAGTCAAGATATGAAAACAAAACATTTCCTCAACATAATTGAAAGGCAAACAGTGACAACGAATAAGTACAGAAGCTTGACATAATGGATAGATATCCACCTGTCCACAATCAAGAAAAAGTGATGCGAGCTGCTCTTCAGTCACCTACACAAAAGAAGAAACAGAATTATTAAAATAAAAAAGATGAAGGTACAGTAACCCAATTAACAATAACACCGGACCTCTCTTTTTTACCTGATGATCAAGGTCAGATACATAAACCGTCCTCCTTATAACATCTTCCCTTTGGGCCATGCCTGTTCGAGTATTCATCCTTCTCCTTCCATAACTGTAGCCATTTTTCTTCTGCACGCACAATTTAAACTCCACTAATCAGCTCAAACTCACAGACGTAAATATATTACCAAAAGAAAAAAACAAGGAAGATTTCTTTTTCCGAAATAAATGGTAAAGAAAGGTATAAAAGAAACTCAACACCCTTCACTTTAACACTAAAATGACTAAAGCCCTCCTATTACTTTTATGCAAAATAACAATTGGACTATATGAAATGTCCTCCAAGTGATCATCTTACCTCTACTATACTACGATAATTCTGAAAAATAAACAATGTTCAGAGTGGAGAGCCTAACATATACATATTCCATCGCAAACAAACAAACAAATATAAATTATCAACTTTTGCTTTAGACCAAACGAAAACATGATAAATTAGAAAGGAAATAATGACTAATCGACATCCTTCATCTTGAAATTCCATAAACTCCTGAGATATAAAGAGATCAAGACATCAAATACTGTCTTTGTCAAAGCTGCAACCCAATGTTCCTAGCGATCAAATACATCGCAAGTAAGTTCAAATCATCCTAAATTCGAGAAACACACTACTAACAAACCTCGATTCATGGAGAAAATTCATCAAAAAAATCTCTATTCTATCAATAAAAATAAGTTCATACCCTTCTGTTGGAATTTCCATTGGCCTCAGTCTGCATTAGAAAATTGTTAGCATCAAAGCCAAAATGCACTGCGCCAGGTGTAAATGGCACTAGCATGTTGTTGTTAGCCATTGAAGGAGGCACAAACTCTTCTGCCATGGGATTCAATTTGGAAAGCATCTCTTCCAAATCCCTCATCTCCCTCTTAAACCCTTCATCACCACCATCAACCACCCCTCCATTCCTTAAATCAACACCGTTCATTTTCTGATGCTCATGCTGAATACTATGATTACCCAATACTCCATTACCATTGACGCTTTGCTCTTTCTGCTGAATTCCATTATCTTTCTGGGGTTCTTCCTGCTGCTGCTGCTTAACAGACATAATTTCAAAATTCTGATCGTTGTTCTGTTTCGTTTTCACTGACTGATGATCAACAACAACATCTTTCTGTACATTTCTTCTGGGATTCGATGAGACAACAACGTTAATAGCAGCATTCTCAACCACAGCCATGATTATTCAAGAATGCTCCTTTTTCTCTTCTTCTTCTTCTTCTACCCTTCTTCCGTTCTATCAAAAACCCAACAACAAAAATAAACAAAAGATTACTTTTTTTCAAGAAGATCAAATTGGGTTTTTGAATTTATTACTAAATCGAGAAATAAATACAAGAAATCGTACCTGATACTCTCTAATTGACACCCATTCTTCTAATACAAAAAACAGAGCATCAGCTACAAAATGAAAATCAAAAAGCTATGAACAAAACAGGAAATGATTCTTTGTTTCTTTGTTGGAGTGTGTAGTGTGTTATTTTTACTGATTCTGCAGAGAGAGAGAGAAAAGATATGAAATAGTGCTCAACTCCACTAGTTTATAGCAGGAGAGAGAAGAAAGAGGTGGGTTGTTCGGATCGTCCGTTTTGACACACTTCCTTTTTGGACTTTGTTCACTACCTCCCAAAATCTCTTTCATTTTCGACCTGATTAAAATTATACAGATATTAATAATATAGATATAAGTTATTCATGTGTATAATTTTTCTTATATAACTTATATATATATATATATGTTAGTTATACTCGTTAATATATAACACCTTCATAACTCATGTTAAAGAAAAAAAGAGTTAAAATCAACATTATCATTATGTTTATTACTACCATCTTTTAACTTATCTTGATATTATGACGCTTCATTATAATAATATTGTTTGTTCGAATATTTTTCACTATCATAATCTGATTTAATAAAATTTCTTTATAATAATGTTATTTGTCTAAATATTTGTTAATTGCTATAGTAAAATATTATTATACAAAATATATAATATAGCATAACATGAAAATACCAAGTCTTTTATTATTTTTATTTTTCAATTTATCGATCACTTGGTTATACACTCCTTGTAAAGAAATATAATATGTCTTAATGTTTGGTTTAAATGTTGAGAAAATCTTTTAATATAAATGCTAAGCAATAAATATAAATGGTTCCACATGAATCCTCCGCCTAATACCATTGAAAATTGTGGCATGGTATAGTAAATATTTCTTTATCTTTAACTCAAAAAAGTCTTAAATTGAAATTTCATTTTTAATTAAAAGTTTTAAATTTTCATTTCATTTTTAATTGAAAGTCTCAAATTTGTGTTTTGGGTATAAAGTCATTAATACCTCTAAAGTAAGACTTTACCAAAGTAAATAAGAATTAGTCAAATTTTAAAATTAGTACCTTAGACATCCATTAAGAAAACAAAAAAATAAATTCTCTACATAATGTCACTTCTTATTGAAATACAAGGTCGTTCAAAGAAAGTATATTACAACATGGCAGTATTTAAAGATTTTTTGGTTTTAGCATCCAAATCATATAAAGTCAAAGTGAAAGATATTATAATAATCAAAGGAAACGTGCATTAAATTGCGAATTTCAATATTTTCAATTTTAAAATTAATCAAATTTTGTGAGTTTGCTAGTTTTTAAAATTGTGCGTATAAATTAATATTTTAAAAAAATATATTCAAACTTTAAATATTCTTTATAAAAATATGATCATATATAACTTGAGCTTTAAAAATTACGAATAATATAAATAATATTTATTTTTTATGATCAAACGCTCACTTAATTATTATAAATATAATTGTTATGTAAACATTAATTAGTATCTATTTTAAGAAGCCTATATATCTACGATTAAAATTAGCTTCTGTGTTTATCAACCATGTTAAAAAAGAAAAAGTTAGATTTGGTGTCCCTTTTACTTTTTTCCATCTATAATACAGTAATCTACATATTAACGTAAGTAATGATCGCCTGTGATATTATTATGAGTTCATCTATTAAAATCAGTCATAATTTAAAGAATTAAATATTTTTGAATTTCATATATAAATTATTGAAAGTATGAATTTCTTATCAGAATTATCATTTAATAGTTAATGAGACATATCTCGACTAGTTTCTAGGATGTGTGCACTCTCTATTTTGTTTAAAAAATTTGTCAAGTGTCCCTCCACGTGAAAAAGGCAAATTTAAATAAATTAATATTAGTTTAAAATTAAAAACCACCTTATAAATTATTTTATTTCATCTGCCATCTTCTTCCCCACCTTCTTAGTAATGGTCTTGTCTTTGCCATGTCATCTATATTTCCAACTTGAAATGGGACAGTTTAGAATTTTTAAAGAATTAATTAAAAATATATCAAAAAAGTAATTGTGTAAGCAAATAGTGTTGTTATATATATATGTATATATATATATATATATGGACAAAAATTTTATGGACAATAACACTTAAAAAGCATTTCTAGATAAATATTTGAACTAGTCAATGTTAAAGTATATTTCATTAATCATTAGGTGATAGTTCGAATAGAAAAGTTACACTTACAATAATTTAGTTATGAAACTCAATAAAATATTATTTTAATACTTAATTCTAATTTAAATACATAAATAAAATTTAATGACAAATTTATAACTTATTTAGCTTTAAAAAAGAGTATGGGGGTAATAGTAGTATTTTAGAATTAGTCACGTGCAATTATGTACGTGGTCACATAACATAGGCATGTGTCATGGCGTTTTGGGGTGCTAAATAAGCCAGCCTATCGCAGCTAACGTTTACTTGATAAGGCCATCTCACGTTTTATTTTTTATTTTCCACCTGTTGAATATTCATGTTAGAACTGGGTTAAATTCAGCTTTATATCGAGAAGTCCCATATTGTGAATAAACAGCCTGATTAAATTTGGATTTTTATCGAGAAGTCTCACGTTAAGGATAAATTGCTCCCTAATAAAGATGACTATGTACCCAGCCTGTTGCAGCTAACATTTTCTTGTTAAGGCCATTTCTTCAATAGTGTGCATGCTATCTACACTATCACGTTCTCTCTCTCTCTATATATATATTATCTTGGTATAGTAGAGGGAAACCTAACTTATACAAAACTCCTCTTTACATATTATTCAAAATATTGTATTTCACTCAAAGATGTTGATTTTAATGATGCATTAAGTTTACATTTTCAGATCAAAAGAAAATATCTATTTAAACCAGGTAATCATATAATGAGTATCTATTACCAAGCTTTGTACACAGTTACAAACTCAAATTATGGTAAGGTTTATAAAAACAAAGAAATGATCGAAATAGATCAAGAATGTGCAGAAATAGTAAGAATTGTTGAAGTAGAAATTCAGCAAGCTCAAATTCCAGACGAATATGAGATTCAGTATATATATATATATATTATTATTATTATTATTATTTAGTATCCAGTACTTCTATTAAAGTTTGATTATATTTGAATTTGCCCTTCGTAGGACTTCATTCGGGAGGAAGCCCTCCCTACTAATCACTTTTTCATACTTAGGGCTCAAACTCAAAATCTCTAATTAAGGAAAAAATAACAACCTAATTAACAGTACCACATTCTTTGGTTGTCAAAAATATAAAAATAAAATAAAATAAAATAATAATAAAAAATAATATATATATATATATATATATATATATATATATATATATAAAAGAAAAGAGGGAGAGGGGGGGATTACGCAGCTAATTAAGTAAACATATACTAGTTAATTAGCTAACATAGTTATAGTTTGCATTAATTACAATTCGAAACTTATTTCTAACTATAATTACACTCCTCTCTCTCACCTCTCGCCTCTCTTCCTCTCTCTCCCCTCTCTCTGGAATCTTGCTCGCCTCTCTCCTCTTTTTAGTCATCTCTCCCTCATCTTTCTCCTCTCTCGATCCTCTTATGTCAATCTCTCTCACACTTTAAACAAACACAAATATATACTTTGTGTCTGTGTTTGTAGAAAGCGAAAAAAACTGGATATATAAATATAAATACATATTTCTCCGCCTTATACACTTGTAACTATAGTACAAATACAAATCTTCCCTTGCCCAGTTCTCTCTCTCGCTTTAAACAAACACAAATTATACAATACAATGTATAATTTGTATTTGTATAATGCGAGAGAGATTGAATATACAAATACAAATATTTTAACTCGATTCAATTGTATACGAATTAAAATTGTATGCAGATTTACAAATGCAATCATTGATACATGTGCATAGTAGTTACACATATACAATTATCTAACCAACTGATATACATATACAATTTACCTCTCTCCACTCTCTGTCATCTCTCGCTCACCTCTCTCCTCCCTCTCCCAATCTCAATCGCCACTCTCCTTCCTGTAACATGTAGCTACGAATCATAATTAGCAAACTATAGCTATAGAGCATGATTAAGCTATTTGAGTGACTATATGTGAAAATTCTCCAAAAGAAAACTTATATTATATATATATATATATATATATTGTATGATTTTACCAAAAAGTGAGGATGAATATCCTCGCCCTTCCTACACACACCCATGTTTTATATTATATAACTAGAGATATGTGCTTGTGCTAATACGGGCCTAATATCTTAGTATTTTTTAATTTTAATTTATGTGATATAGATAAAATTTAGAAAGTTGATTAAATTTTAATATACTTTTTAGATATTTAAGTTGTTAATTACTTTTTATTTGCACAAATTTATAGTGAAGAGGTCCATTAAGATGTCCATAATTAAAGTATTTTTCGTCATCAATTGATTTTTTACTCAAAGTAGTTACAAGATATAAACAAATATTACCGACATTCAAAATAATAGAGCAATAACTAAAGAATATGAATTTAAAACTAAAAGTCATACCTAAGACGGATTCCATAATTTTGAAAAATTATACACTAATTAAATTAAAGTAGAACAAAAGAAATAATTTAAAAAAAAATAAAATTTTGAAACACGATGAGGCATGCATGTCAACAGAGACGTGTCTGCTTCAGCGTGAAGTCTTGAATTTAAAACTAAAAGTCATACCTAAAATGGATTCATAATTTCAAAAAAATTATACATTAATTAAATTAAAATAAAATAAATTTTTTAAAAAATTCCGAAATACGTTGAAGCAGGCATGTCGACGAAAACGTGTCTACTTCAGCGCGAACTCTCTCTTATATACATAAATATATATATAATAATAATCTGTTACACTATCAAATCAATACTATATTCTATAGTAATCCAAAAGTAAGCCTCTATCATAAGTCTAATTTATGAAAAGAAAGGAAGTGATTTATTACTTAATGAAAGTTAATATATATTAACAGTGTAAATATCTTTTACACAATGTTCAATTCATTTTCCCCAATCATTAGAGAGTATATGCGTACATAATATCGGATATAAACTTACTCTATGTGACTCGAAAATATAAATGAATATATGATGATAATACT